TTACGCCTAGAAGAGCTCGGCAAGCTCGAATAATTTGATTCCCTTCCAGTCACCCATCCTCACTGACAGCCTGACCGAACATGCATATCCATCACCATGTATTTAATCTACTACTCATTTAGACTGGATTCCTAGCATACTCCTGCAACTGCGCCCACTCGAGCAGCACCGCAAAGAAATAGCAGTCATTCTGCGCGTCCTTGACGACCCGCTCCGCTACCTCTCTCCCCGCTTCCTGGATCCTCATCGCTTCCTCCGGGTGCGCCTCCGCCCACACCACCCGCTCCAGCAGATCTGACAGGTCGGGCAGTACGGGGATGTAGTGCTCGTACGGCCGCAACCATTCGTTGAAGTACTCGTTGAAGACGGTCGACTGCACCATGTCAGCTCAGCGAAACACATCCACGGCCTCTGATGCTGCGCGCACCTTGAACACAAGGGACCCCGACCGCAGCAGCCCCAAAAACCGGCCAGAAAATGTATTCCCATCGACATCGAGGAGGTACTTGTACCCATAGGCCGCCTCGCGCGCGTCACCCGGTCCATGAATATCGTACTCCTCGACGATTGCGTCGCGGTCGCACTCCGCCGGGTCGGTACAGTGCGTCTCGGCAAACTGCGTCATCTTGACGTTGAGTACGTCGGAGTGATTTCGTGCAAGGTCGATGAGCCTGAAGCGAGGGAAATGGCGGTAGTTTTCTCCGATTATGTGCCCGCCGTTCGACATCCCGCGCCAATCTACATTATTCCTCTGAACGGGTAGTGTTGAAAGGAAAGGAAAAGATGCATACAGAGCTGCGATTTTTTCTCCGTCCAGGGGACGTTATTGGGATACGCGAATTTTCCAGACCATCCGGAGCCGTCGTAGAAATACTGGTAAAGTGTGAGTTTACTGACTGTCGATCATAGGTATATAGGCGTACCGGGCCCGGGAACAAGATATCAGAAAAGCAAGGCGAGATCTTCGTCATCGAGAGCAGCGGGTATAAATCCACGGTAAAGTCAGAACTCGAGCTTGAGAGTAAAACTGACAGGATATCAGCACGTATCCGATTGTGTGCCTACAGGCAGACGCACACGCGACATCATCATTGGCACTCTCCGTAAAGCCCACCGAACGCTTCGGGATGGTGCACCCACTACGCGCCTTGAAGAAGTCCGCGGTGGGACGGGGTGAAATCTCGAACGGTGTGCCGTCTTTGAGCTGAGTGGCCACCGCTTTAGACCCCAGCTCGCGGTAGTTGAAAACCACGCGTGGCTCGTCGCGGCCGTTCAGTATAAAGTCCATGTCCGGCAGATACTGCGCAAACTTTGTTTCGAGGTCAGTCGAGCCTCGGAGAACGAAAAGCAGAAGAAGACGTACTCGCCCCAGCATCCGCGGCCAATCTCCAAAATATGAGGTCCCCTGATATCCCGGCATATGCACCTCCCCATCCTTAATCTTGATCGTCGTCATTCCCTTCGGATCCTCAAGCATCTGCGATAAAAGGATTGAGAACAGAACCAGAGCAGGCCACACGAACCAGACAGGAAACTAACCTTCGCCGAGCCCCGATCTATCTTCTTCTGGAAGAACCCCGGATCCTCCTTCGCCAGCTGGTAAAACGGCGCAAAATCGCGATGTATCTGGTCGTATTCGTCAATCAAGCACTCGTTTTCCCGTGCGAAGTGGAACCAGTGGTCAAAATTCCGTGGAGGCTGGCGACTCGTCTTGAGAGAGTAACGCGCCCGGGCCTGTGAGAGAGTCTTAGATTGTTGAGCGAAGAGATTGTCTACTTGAAGCCGGGCGGCGGAAATATGTGGCGCTTCGGGTTCTACGATACTGGAGTCGGAGTCCCCCGAAGAAGTGGGCTCCCTGTCCCCGCTGACCGGCCCAATAGCAAGCCGGCGCTCAGCAAGAACAGCAACAGCCCCAGAAATGGCAAGCACCCCGAATATCGTGACGAGAAGGCGGCGGTGTCGCCAGGCCCAGGAGTGCTGTGCAGCGCGTTGGTCCCTCAGTTCCGTTGCCTCCTCTTCCGTCCAGGTCTTCGGAAACCTTGTCGACAAGAGTGGAGTCCGTGCAGCTTCAGGATCCCGACGCGAGTCCGAGTCCGCATCCGGCACCGGCGCGTACGGGTTGGATTCGCGACTCGGAGCCTGGACAAAGAAATAAGCGAAGGACATGTGGTCTTGAGGATTAAAGACGTCAACGTCGGGGGACAGACCAGCTGCTATCGGCCAAATTCATCGAGGTGGGCGGTTTTTATAGTCAGCACAGGTTTAGGCTCATCAGTGAGTGTTGCTATGTACCGCTGGGTAACCGCACCAACGTACTTAATTCGGGGAAAACCAGAATAAATGGGACCAGTGAGGATGGCAACCGTAAGTCCATTTTGCTCAGATCCGACTCGACTTGATGCTGAGCGGATGTGGCATCCATCTAAACACCGTGAACGGCCGGCGCGGGGGCGCATCACTGGCAGTCCGGAGGTAGCAGATTCACTAGTACTGCTTGGTGGTGGTGGTCGTTGATTCTGACCCCATCATCGAGTTACTGTCAAAATGGATTCAACGCAGTTTCTACAGCTCCAATGTTTGCGCATACGCCTGCAATCTCGCGTACTCCAACAAAACCGCAAAGAAATAGCAGTCGTTCTGATCGTCCGTCATCACCCGCGTCGCAACTTGCATTCCGCGCTGCTGTATCAATCTCGCTTCCTCCGGCTGCGCGTTCGCCCACTCGATTTTCTCCACGAGATCCGAGAGGTCAGGCAGGACGGGAATATAGTGGACATACGGCCGCAGCCACTCGTTGAAATACTCTTCAAATACCGTGGCCTGTCAAAGGATCAGACTCGAACTCGCAGTCAGTTTGAAAACGAAACCCACCTTGAACACTAGCGATCCCGAACGTAGAAGGCCCAAATACCGTCCAGAGAACGTCGTACCATCCACGTCCATGGCGTACTTGTAACGGTAAAGATCTTCCCGCGACTGGCCGTCTCCAGTGATATTGTATTCCGCAATAACCGCCTCGCGATCGCAGCCTTCCCCGCAAAGCGTCTCCGCAAATCGCGTGATTGCAACGTCCATGAGATCCGGGTGCGTACGTCCTAGGTCGAACAGCTTGAAACGCGGGAAGGAATGGAAGTTGGAGCCAATGATTTGTCCGCCATTGGACATCCCACGCCAGTCTGTCGAGAATAAACACTCATGTGAGACTTCGTGTAGTACCGGATTGAATACACGACAAACAGATCTGCGGCTTCTTGTCCTCCCAAGCAACGTCGTCCGGATATTCGAATTTCCCTGACCACCAAGATTGATCGTAGTAATACTGTGCAAAGGAATGAGTATGTTTGAGCGGAGTGGAGAGGTATGCAGAAAAATCTACCTCAGTGGGGAACAGAATATCGGAGAAACACGGCGATATCTTTGCCATGCTGATCAGTGGGTATAGATCTGTGGTGAACCCGGACTTCGCGCTCGAGATGAGAACTTTACACAGACGTTGCTCAGAGAGCAGATAAATTGGTACGGACATGAATGCTCACAAGCGGTATTCTCGTTGATGCTCGTCGGGAAGCCCGGCGTCTTGCCGTGAACCAAGCATCCACTATGGTGTTTAAAAAACTCGGACGTCGGGCGCGGCGCGATCTCGAAGGGAGTCGGGTCTTGTGGGTGGAATGCCTTCTCCAACGCCCCGTCAGCCCGAAGGTTGAACGCCACACGGGGCTCGTCACGGGAGTTCAGCAAAAATTTCATGTCTGGTAGGTACGCGGAGAACTGCAATGGATCCGGACCGTAAGCGACGCTGGACCTTGGTGAAAAATAAACAGCAAAGACGCACCCTTCCAAGGGTTGTCGGCCAGTTGGCTATATACGCCACGTCAGAACCACCGTGAACGCGAACCTCTCCGTTCTGGATCTCTACTACTGCGATCTCCACCGGATTCTGCCCGATCTTCGAAGAACGTTGACCACAAAGCCCACGGACACGAAGTGAAATGGCGCACCTTGGCCGCTCCACGCTCCACCATCTTCCTAAAGTGGTCGGGATCCTCCCTGGCCATCTGGTAGAATGGCTCAAAGTCGCGGTGAATTTGATCATATTCATCGATTAAACACGATCGTTCATGGGCAAACTGGAACCACCGGTCATAGTGTGAGGGCGGTTGTCGACGAGTCTTGAGCGTGTAGCGCGCAATCGCTTCGTCCAAGGTCCTCGATTGACGAGAAAGGAGCGCTTCTACGCTGAGCCGCGCACTTTCGACGGGATCGTCAATCGCGGTGTCGAGTGGTCCTGATTCTGAATCTTGACTCGACGGGATTACAGAAAAGGGCCCTGAAGGTGCGACGCCGATTGTAGCCAAGTCCTGGCGGAAGATATAAACGACAGCGCATCCACTTGCGACAGTTCCTGCCAGTAGCGAAAAGAGCAGCCAGTGGCGCCTGATCCACGAGGGGCGTCTTGAGCCACCCTTCGCGCTTTCTCGATACGCCGGGGTAAGCAACGGGGTCGTGGGGTCGTCATTCCGGCCATAAAGTGAAGGAACCTGTCCTTGATCTGAGTAAAGAGTGAGGAAACGCGGGGCCATTTTGCGTGGCAGACACAGAGCCGGCTGTGGTGACTTGCTCTGCCAGCAGGAGACCCATATTTAACGAATAACGGGCGTTGCGGTACCAAAATCCTGTTCCGCACCAATTCCGTGATTCCCGGAGCGGACAACAGTTATGCCGTTGGATATCGCGATGGTAACCAGTGTTTGGAGTCAAGTAGGCCGTGACTTGCAATACACTCCTGGTCTATGCTTGTCGAGGTCAAGTAGATCCGCGTGAGCGGGCCAAGCCGCCTTGGAGCAAAATCGGTTGCGCAGGAAAGGGCAAGGTAACTATTCTAGTGAAAGGAGTCGCGTGTGATGCTATTGGAAATGGCGCCCGAAAAACTTATGGACCTGGATGCAGGCCAGACAACGGTAGAAGATGGAATAAAAAAAAGCGGCGTAAAAGTGAAAAAGTGATCCGACCCGGGCTCGAACCGAGGACCGCCTGCGAAACTATAATTGTGAAGCAGATGTGATAACCAACTACACCATCGGACCGACGCCGAGAAGGGATTCACTATCTATACGTGGAAGTCACAAGGATGAAGAGTGATTCCTGGCACCGCCTCCGCACTGCCCATCAACAAGTCAATTGCGACGGAACCGCTTTCTCACCTCAACGGCGATGCTCGTCAACCTATCTGTGGAAGTCCTGGAGGAGATTGGAGGCAAGGTTTGTCATGCATCTAGCTTTTTGTGGGCGGACTTCTACTGAACCTTTCGCAGCTCTCTCAGAAGGACCATGCGAATTTGCGGGCTGTTTGCAAAGACCTCGATGCTGCAATGCGCCGTTTGTTTTTCTCCTGCCTCGTCCTGAGACTCAACCAACTACGCAGCGAAAGCGGTCTCCGCTTTCTCAAGGCTCTTGCGACTGGAGAGACGGGTTGGTCTTCATATGCAAGAACACTTCGTATGAAACCTGGGAAGGAAGACAAAGAATCGGATATTTCAGATACTGAAATGCAGAGCCTCCTTGCCTCCACACTCAGGGACCTGGTTAATATCGGCAAGGTCGTGTAAGTTCAATTCAAACTCTTCACAACCGGCGTTGGAATTGATCCCTTCAAAGATGGGGAATGAAGGAGAGCAGTCCCGGATGGCAGCGTCGTGCCATCTGCGATTTTCTGAATGGTTTACCCGCCCTAGAGGAGCTCCAATTGCTTATACAAGGCACTGTCGACCTCTCCTCACTGCGGCCGTCGGGAATACGGAAAATGACGATCAAGAATCCTAGCTGGGGCCGCGGGGCTTTTCACTTCGGTGTAACCGAACAGCCCCCAATGTATCAGGATCTATCGAAGATGATAGCGCAGAATCGCCTCGCCTCCCTCCGTTTGGAAGCTTCTGCAGAATGGGAGACGGTCTGGAGCATGCTGCGGGCCAAGACCGACTCTCGGAGCCATCTAACCGAAATTACCACCAGCGTCGTCACGCCGGAACTCTTCGCGTATCTGACGTCCTACTCTGGACTCCGCAAATTGTCGTTGATACACCCTGATGGCGGCAGTCGAGAGGCATCCGACCGCCTTGCAGATATGTTCTTCGAGACCGTTCTCCCCCATCATGCCGCATCGCTGGTCGAACTCTCTTGTGCAGCAGGCTACGAGAGTCGATGGAGCTTTGGAACGCATAATGTCGACGTTATCTCGCAGTTGGACAATCTGAAGACTCTCGAAATGAGCATCAATGCTGGAGAGTCTAGGTTAATCGATCCGTCGGAGGAGGAACAGTTTATTGATCCCGAGTCTGGGGAGAAGTACATGATCGCCAGGATCGGCATATCTGTGGAAATAAAACAGGCTGATATCTATCCTACCGTTGTATGTTCCTATGATTTGTCTAGCACATTCAAAAGCTGATCGCATGCACAGGGTCTCCTTCTCAACACAGCCGCGACCCTGCCGAAACTCCTCGATCTCACTATCACCTCCGCGGAAACAGAGAGTAACCGTGGCGCCTGGTGCGGAAACGGTCGGATCCACCACACGGGTGCGGTCGAACAGGCAATCGAGAAGGCGATCCAGACCTTCACTTCCAATGTTCCATGTCCCGCCATCGTGCGGGCTGGCTACCATGCCTACCAACTACATCCGGTGAACGTGGAGGGTCTGATAGATGCTAAATCACGTTCGGGGCAAGAAATCCTGTTGGCTTACCGGAAGACGGGTACCTTAATTTGGTGTTGATTACTTGAACGAGCCGTTTTAGTGCTGCCATCGACTTCCTTGGTTTTACTTTTCCTAAATATGCCTTCGTCTCTCTTGAAGGCAAAATAAATATGCCACAAATAACGTATTATTTCTCGAATCCGAGCAGCTCGGATACTTGAAAAGAAACCTAAAACAGGCCTAGGCTAAAAGACGATCTCCTAAACCTTTTAAGGCGCGAAGAGCCAATTAAAACTTTCGAGGCACAACTTACATTTGCTCGACAATTCAGATAAGAATAAGAAGAATGATACTATTGATAGTGAATAACACTTCCATTCTGTTCGAGCACCTGACCGGCAGTCATCTATACCCAGCTGACGGTCATGGGAATCGCATGATGCACTGCCGCTCTACATAAACTCGGGATCTACAGCCACTCTCAAGGTTCCTTCCCTCCCTCTTTCTCCCATACTTCCGCTGCATAAAATCCTCATGCTTCTGGCGTTGTCTGTCGAACTCTTGGAAGAGATTGGAAGTAAGGTTAGAGACTTACAGAACCGAGTCGTCCGGAGTCGTGCTCACTACCTGACACCCAGCTGACCCAGCCTGACCGCGCTAGGTTACGTGCAGTATGCAAAGATATCGAAGGCGCCACACAGCGCTTGTTTTTTTCCTGCCTGTTCTTGAGAATCCGGGAGCTACGCAGCGATGATGGACGCGATGTTCTCGGGACCCTCGCAAGTGGCGACGCCGGATGGTCTGAGTACGCCAAGACGCTTATCATCAAGCCTGGAAATCGCTCGGGGACGGAGGAAGCCGGGGAATTTGATATCTCGGACGCTGCGATGCAGGACTTACTTGCATCCGCACTCAAAACGATGCCGAACATCCAAACGGTCATGTAAATTGTGTTGTATAACCCGGCGAATCGTTACTCACATAATCCCTAACCACTCAGATGGGAGATTCACGGACAGGATCCCGGATGGGAGCGTCGCATCATCTGCGAATATCTGAACAAATTGCCTGCTCTCGAGGAGGTGCAATTGGAGATCAAAGGCCTCGTAGACCTCTCTTCATTGCAACTTTCAGGCATACAGAAATTCACGATAAAGACTCCGAGCTGGCAGAGGCCCTTTAACGGCATTAATGCACCCAGTGAGCCACCTATGTATCACGAGATATCGCGGTTGCTTGCGCAACATTGCCTCACCTTCTTGCACTTGGAGGGATCCAAAGGCTGGTCGAAAGTCTGGACCCTGCTACAGGAGAAGACTAACTCCCAGTTACACCTCACCGAGATCACGACGAACGTGGTAACACCGGAACTCTTCGCGTATCTAGCCTCGTACTCCGGGATCCACAAATTGAAACTTCAGTTTCCCGACGGGGGTAGTCGAGATGCATCCGACCGCCTTGCCGATACGTTCTACGAGACGGTTCTACCCCATCACGCGACATCGCTGGTGGAACTTTCCTGCCCCGCAGCATACGAAAGCCGCTGGAGTTTTGGAAATCACAACGTCGACATCGTCTCCCATTTGCACCATCTCAATACTCTGGAGATGAGCATTAATGCCGGACAGACGAGGAGAATTGACTCGAGCAGGAACTCGAAGAGAATTGATGTCGACGGCCGTTCGGTGCCAGTTGTCTCGATAGGCAGACAGGTAGAGGCGGAGCAGTCTGACATCGACCCCGTGGTAGTATGTTCCCCCCACAATTTTCTTCCATAAGTATTTAAACCCTCATCACACTGCCAGGCTCTCCTACTGCACACGGCCGCTACCATTCCGGCTCTGCGTAGCCTGGCAATCTTACCGGCTGAAACAGAGAGCAACCGCGGTGCATGGTGCGGAAATGGAAGAATAAACCACAGACGCGCCGTCATCAAAGCTATCAATACGGCGGTACAGCATTTCACTTCCAACTCTCCGTGTTCTGCCGTGGTGCGCGCTGGCAACAATATCTACGAAATGAAACCGGTGGCTGGAGAGGGACCCGCAAAAAATGGTCAGTTGGACAAGAAGAATGAAGCGCTGTTGGCATACCACCTGTTGTGAATTGCGTCGTTGCGCCGCTGAACTGAAGGTGAAGCAAACACGAGTAGCATATGTACTCCATGTGGTTTTTCGCATGTGCCTTGTGATAATGTACTATCAATGTTGAATTCGACAGTCACCTATCACCGGGAGTCTGTCGATTACGAATATTGGTGCATGTCACACAGAACCAGACCTGCTGTTGAATTCGTACCACGTAAATTCCAAAAATGTCCCAGGATGACTAGCCAAAAATGTCAAGAACTGTATAGAAAGTTGTTTTAAAAGTGTTAGCTTGGGTTAGCTTTTATTTCGCGGTTCTCAATCAAAATGTGGCACATCTTCAGCCAAATTCATTCGGGAGATGCTTGCTTGAATCCGCATTTTTGAGTTACATAAAATTGAATTTGAAATTGAGTGTAAGTGTGCCCTTACTTGCCTCTGCAACGATGGGGCTATTCAGGACTTTTTTCAAATTTCTTTGCACTGTCACGGTCTTCTCAGCCCCGTATCGTTGCCGTGTCGAATTGTCGAACCAGTTGAAAATGTCACGTGTCCTCCCTCCCCTCCCCACCCCCTTCGTGTCGAATCGAACGATATAGCACATGCAACCTGCTTCATGTCATTTTATTTCTTTTGATGACGGCTGCCGGGAATATAATTCCAGGTTCCAACTTTCCTTCCCAGTTCTAACGTAAGTTCGAGGACGCGACGCGTTATGTGCGCATATGTACGCGCAGCCGAGTCCCGTGCATAGTTACACGTGGTGGCAACTTTATTTCATTATATTTTCCAAGAGGGCGCTCGATCCCTGAATCATGGACTCTTTCCCATGCCACCCCAACCCCATCAATTTCGCAAAGACAAAGTGCGAACTCTTAAGGCCCTCCGGGCATGCACATCCCTGGCACCTCTAGCAGATATGGATTTCAATACCTCGACTCGAGATGATAGCCCAATCCAATTCATTCTCCTCAAAGTTTGCTCCGTCAACAAGTGAGCGTCCACCAGATTGAGCCTCGGCAGTCGCCGCCATACTTGTGGACCGTGGGTGAGTTCGGGAAAGCCCCCGATCGTAGCCGGGTCTAGGCCTTTTATGGGATTGCAATTGTGGTAAGTGTACTGTACTGTACAAAGCCTAGCGTCGCGGTTGGATCCAACCCAAGCTGGCACCAGGAATTCTTGCACAACTCGATTTCAGCTCCTGCTCAGGCTTGCCAATCTACAACTTGAAGGTTGCTTTACGAGTCCTAAAATGGTAATTTTAGACTCGTCTTTATAAGCATTTTTGCGCCAACCTGAAAGC